CGTGTCGAATCGTACGGTGTGCTATTCTTGCGGTGTCCAATCGTACTGTGGTCAATCGTACCGTGTCTAATCGTACGTGTCCAATATTACGTGTGCAATCGTACTGTGTCCAATTGTACCGTGGTCAAACGGAATACGCCCGATAGTTGTATGAAGCCGCGTCTATAAGTATATATGGTCTAAGGACGGGGCATATCGTCGCGGGGAGGAATCTATTGAAGAGAGGGCGACGAGGTAAACTGTGCCTAGTTTTGATTGGCTGTTAGTGATGCAAACGCATTGGCAAGACAAGGAGATTATAGACGTGGAGGTATAAAAGAAAAAATAAAGTTTTTTATATTAACAAAGCGTTTTAATTATACAAAATGGTGCAGTGTTATGTGCGGTCGTGCACAAACAGATCCGATTGCCAAAACTAGAAAAGAAGTAGTGATAAAAATAATAAGAAAAAAAAACATTTCACAGGTAATGAAATTTTTATCATATTGAAAGTAATATATATCTTATTGTAAGAATGTAAATTGCTAAAACATTTTTTTATATAGCTTTCCCAAAAATTCTGAAACTCGAGCGTTGTGGTTAGATATTTTAGAAATACATGCATTATCTGTACCAACTACAGCTCGCATTTGCTCTGTCCATTTTAAGGAAAAATGCTTTGATAGAACATCTTCAATAACTCGACTTAAGCCAAATGCATTGCTCAGTGTATAAATAACAACTGATTTTTTATTTATGACATATATTTTATACTATAATGATATGTTTTGTTTATTTGTGTATAGATATGTTTTTATATATACATATATGTTATGTTTGTTTACTCACGAAATAAATTAAACTTCGTTCTTTTACAAAACTTGAGTCGGTTTATTAAACGTGTGAATGGAAACAGGAATGGACTTGGAATGAATGAAGATACATAATTAAACAAGAGCATCGTTGTTGAGAATAATTGAATGATTGTGTATATCGGTTGCTAAGATGACGTTCGATAATAGTAACGATATCGATGTATCGATTACTACATCTCCCCCTTTTTAAGACGTTGACAGACGTAATCCTTGTATCTGATTGGACTGCGCCGTGTTCGCGCTGATTGCCGGATTGGCCTTGCAGATTCGGAAGCTGATAGAGACTCAGATGGCGTAGACTCTCTATGTTCCAACTGCAGCGTCTCGGACGATGTCTCTCTTTGTTGCATTAGATTCGCATCTGAGACAGCGCGCTAGACGCATCGAACGGAGACTTCGATTATCTTTCCTAATGCCCACTTCTGGTTCCCGAGTGTTTGTGACAGACAGTCAAGTCGGATATTACTCTGCTGTGAGTATTTTCGAATTTGATTATCAAATCTGCCGTTTTTACGGCAATTCTTTTGTGTGTTTTGTATCACTTTTTACCGGCCGGCATTGCCGCCATCTTGCCTTGCGATAACGGTTAGTTTCATTAACTATTACGAATTTTGCTACGTGTTCTGTACTTTGTCAGATTTAACTTTGTCCGCGACACCCGATATGGAGGTCGATAGTGACGTGAAGACTTCTCGACTTTCCCCGAAAGCGGGAGTTGCCGTCCAGGTCGCGGGTGCGGATCCTCTCCCGTCCAAAGGAGAGGGGGGATCTTCTGTTCCTGTGGCCGTGCCTAACTGTCAGGATGCTGGTAAACCGGGCCTTAAACGGTCAATAGAGGTTACAGTTTCTCCTAGCAAACGTTCCAATGCGCCGTTATCGGACTCTCAGAGGTCTCTCTTGGCCAACAAGTACAACCCGGACTCTAAGAGTCCTTTTTTGGTACATGTAGAGCGCTGTCGCCCGGAGCTCTTTTCCGCAGCCTCCGGGACGGACAACTCTTCAGATAAAAGCGCTGTTAGCGCTCTTGGACTAAGTAAAAAGCTTAACTCGCTTGTTTACGCCTCGTTGCAACATGCTTATGACCTCAAGTCTATTGGCAAAAACAAATTCTCTGTGTTTTCCAACAGGAGCAAACGCTAACAGGTTTGTTGAGTTCTTTGCTCGAGTGGCCGAGGAGATCACACCTCACGATACGTGGATCGCTTTTGTCTCTAGCTTCAGGGTGGTGAGGCAGTTTGTGCTGAAAGGTGTTGACGAGGATGAATCTGCAGAAGATATTGTTGCCAATATTAAGCCTCCCCCGGGGTGGGGTGTTTCGTGGACCCCCTCTTTCGAAGCAGTCCGAATGCAAAGAAGGGTGTTCAACAAGGATGGTATACCGTCACTAGTTAATACCAGTCGTTATATTTTAAGGTTTAGGTTTCAGTTTGTGCCTAGGTTCTGTATATATATGGGGAAGAGGGTCTTCTTGTACCTCTATATACAAAGTACGTAGATGTGGTTTCTGCCAAAGGCTGGGACATACTGCCTTCTCCTGTAAACAGTCGGGCAGTACTGACAAGATGTGTTGTGAGAAATGTGGAAAGTCGGGACATTCCAAGCGTGAGTGTTCTAGTCAGTTGCCGGAATGCATTAACTGCATTAGAGCAAAGTCAAGGGACACGGGCCATCAAGCCTCGGACCCGAAGTACCCAGCGTTTGTTAGACAGAAGGAAATTCACAAGATAATGGCGTATCAAGATCTTCCGTACGCCGAAGCAGCTGTGGTGTATTGCGCGCGCGCCGGGACGGTGCGCTCTCGAGAAGGTGGGGGATCTTCGGTTTCTTTACCCTCTCTGGGAGAGTACTTCCCAGGTGAAGGTGTGTTCAGGTTTTCAGCACGCTCTCAAAAGAGTAGGGCAGTGAGTGGTGGAAATAGCTCGTACTCAACTCCTGTGGGCGGCAGCTCTCCCCGTGTGAGCAGTTTCTCTTTTTCTTCGGGAACTATCACGCCGCGGGTGGGCCAAGCTGCAGTTCCCTTGTTTGCTGACAAGGTTAAGGCGGGCACTTCGTTGCTCTCCTTTACGGAACTTCCCCCTGAGGCTCCGCGGCAGGTGCCGTTAGCTGATGCTGGAGGTTTCGGCCAGGAAGAGTTCCCCGACTCCTCCCCGGGTCGTGTGGACGGCTCTGGTCGCCTAAACTCCCTTTCACCTAGACTTTGTAGCAGGATAGTCACCGCCATTCTAAGTATCAACAAATCTTCCAAAGCTCTGCCTCAAGATGAAAATAGTCTGACTGATCTGGTAAACACAATCTGTAACATAATATTACAGTAAATTACATACACATTCTCAAGCTGTCAATTCACAGCTCTCGTCGTCATTATTTTCTCTTCTTTTTTGTTGTTTTTACGAAACAGATGGCTCATGCTCAAACAGTAAAGATTGTTCAGTGGAACTGTCGTTCCCTGCCTCAAAAACTCGATGACGCTAGACTGCTCCTTCACGATGCAAGGCTGTGTTCAGTTAAGCAAGATGGAACGAACTAATGCAGGAAATGCAGGAATTGAAACTAATGAAACTAATGAAACTAATGAAACTAATGAAAGAAGTGAAAATAGTGAAAAAAAAGAAGGTTGGCTCCCCTGATCTGTTGCGGAACATGTGTAGTGGCAAAATTGG